GTTGACCTTCCGGTCCAAACCCTGTCGACCTTCCGGTCCAAACCATGCAAACTCAGGACATAACATATACATACCACATAAAACATATATCACATAACCCTTATAGCACATAAGACCTTCCGGTCACACATAATTACCACTCCAGGTAAGGTATAGTGAGAAGACTCACCTCGTGGCTAGTAGGTAACAGACAAGCACTCGGAAATCTTGGACTAGCCTCCGCCTAACACATTAGACAAGCATCTCAATCATTATCCGTCTTATTACTTATTTACACCTTAAGTCCTCTTTTTCTCTTTTCACCCTCGGAATGGGTAAAAGACCATTTTACCCCTCCTTGGCCCCACCTGCCCCTTATTGACCCACCCATGAAGTCAACAGAAGCCAACCTGGGTCAACAGTCAAGGTTGACCTGACTCGCCGAGTGCACTTCTGTGACTCGCTGAGTCCAATCGTATTCTCCACGTTCTTCCTAGGGTTCACTTAGCTTGTCGAGTTGACTCCCAACTCGATGAGTTAACACTGGGTCAAGGCTACTAGGTCACACCCGCTACGACTCGTCGAGTCATCCCATGGAATCGGTGAGTTGGCTCCATCGATTTCTCATTCAGCCACCTGAGGTCAGATCTATAACTCTAGCTCATAGATCTAACCTCCTAATACCCAAAAGTCACGTAAAGGTTCGATTTTGATGTCCATGCATAGTATATTTTGCTTTATATGCCAATTAGACTCCATTAAAGCTTCCTAACTTCAAAGCTCCATGGTTGCTCAACCATGGCCTCCTACTTTACGACTCTCTGGACCTTACAAGGTCCAGATCTATAGGGTGACTCGCAGGAAGGGGTTTGATGCACCCAAAACCCCATCAAGGAGTGATACAAGCCCTAAATTCACAACTAAGGGTTCTAATCAATCAACAAAGAAGGTAAGAGCTTATACCTAAATCTGAAGCTTGAAATGGAGATGAAGCAGATCCACAAGCTCTCCTCTTTGATTCCTTGAAGCACCTTGCTCTTCTTCTTAAGAAAGTGACCTCAATAAGTATCCTTCCCTCTCTTGCTCACAATAAACGTTAGGGTTTTTCTCAGGGGGCGAATGGACTCTGATGGGGGTTATATGGAGGCTATAAGTGCCTTTAAATAGGCCCAGACCCGACAGAATTAAGGTTTCTGTCAACAGCGCTGACTCGGCGAGTCATCTCGCCGACTTGTCGAGTCCATCCATTACCCACGTCACCAAGTCGCGACCCTACTCGACGAGTTGAGGCACCAACTCGTCGAGTCCTTCCAAACATTCTCAACATAAATAATTTAAAATAACATACCTGGAACTTCGGATGTTACAGTAAATTTCCAAATAGCTAATCCCCAATGGTACCTAAGCAATTAAGATTTCATTATAATAAATAAAAACAATGTAAAACAAAATAAAAGTTGTATAAAAATATACTAGTTACATGCATCCAAATATTTTGCAACCAGCAAATTATTATGTTCCATAAATCAACATTCCAACATGAAAATAAGACATACATATGTTATTTCATTAAACATAGGTTTTAAAACAACCCAAGTAAATAAGTAATAAACAAGGTATCAGAAGGAGTCGGTGTTGGGAAGCATTGTGTCTTAAACTCGTTGATAACATCCTCATCTATCCATGTAGCACTCCCAAACTATATACCAAACATAACGAAAAACTTCTCAAGTCTAAGTCTAAATCGCAGATCATATCCTCCAGCTAGAAACCACAACACATCATCTTCATAATCACAATGGATCACTGAAAGGACCATTACATGGATGAGTTGTATGTCCGCATTTGTATTTCCAAGATCTACGCACGATCCAAAACATGAAGTCTTAGATAGGGTCATACGAGTTAAAGGAGACAACCTCTCTCTTATTTTGTCCATAAATTGCATATTGCTCTCGATGGTCAATACTGAGAGTTTAAAGAACGTATCTAGATATTGAAACACTCACAAAAAATACAGCTACATACTCGTGGAGATACAGTTACACCCACATGAATAATATCAAGCACCACCATGGTGACACATGTTGCATCAATGTTTTAAAACCCGGGTCGACCCGGCCGGTTCAACCGGTTGGACCGTGACCCGGGGTAGAAGGCGGGTCAATTGAGAACGGTTTTTTGTAAAAATACGGACCGGATCGAACCGGTCGGGTTTCCCCTAAACCGCGGTTCGACCGCTTATGTTGAACCGGTTAAAACCGGATTGACCCGTTTTAATAAGGCTTGGATAGTTGGTTAACAAGTAACGAACGCCAAAACAACGAATCGTTTGCCGTTTCTTCAATGTTTTTCAATGTTTAAACTTTGTGGACATCAAATTATTTGTTTTATATGTTTATGCATTATGCGGGAAAGTAAAAATATATAAAAATAGAAAAAGACCATAAACCGGGTTGACCCGGCGGTTCAACCGGTTGACCCGTGAACCGGTCATCACACCAGGTCAACTAAAAATCCGGGTTTTAAAACATTGTGTTGCATTATGTTTGTGAGTGTGTTCATCATTCGTGTTGAGGAGTGTTCTCACTGCCTCATTTTCAGATAGGAAAATGTTAATGTATGTTTATAAAACTACAATAACAAAATACCTTAAAATGCTAACCCCCTGCTTGCCAGAATGTTCTTAAGATAGTTATGATTGTTAAATATACTAAAAAAAGAATAATTTTTTATTATGTATTTGCTTAAGATAGTTATGATTGTTAAATATACTAAAAAATGAATAATTATTGATTACGTATTTGCAACGCAAGTATGTTGCCATCTGATAATCCACAACAGCAAAAGGATGATAATCCACAACACAAATGAACTTTTGAATGTGGCGACCTATGGGATCTTTCGCGGGTTATTTTTGCGTATCGTATTATCATTTTGTTAAATTTGAGAAAAATAGTGTTAGAACCAAAGATAAGGACCCAATACATAGTCATGAATAACTCAAAAATATTTGGCACAAGACAAAATTGCAAGAATAGTCCCTGTGGTATGTCCAAAATTGCTATTTTGGGCCAAACAGGTTTGGACTAGCACCAATAGTCCAAAGTTTTTCATTTTGCTGTTGTTTTGGTCTAAATCAGTTTAAAAAATCTAAAAATGACGGATTTGCCCTTTTCCATTTGTTTTTTGTTTTTCTTTTTTGTTATTTAATTATTTTCCAACTAAAAAAATTAAAAAATAAAATAAAATCTCTCTCTCTCTCTCTCTCTCTCTCTCTCTCTTGGAAACCACCTAACATACAAGATTATATCTCTCTCGGTCTACAGTTACGTCGGAAACCATCTCCTCGCCGGAAACCATCGAAACTGAAGCCCTCCTTCGTCTTCTCCGGCTTGATTGTCTTCTTCGTCGAATCACAGCGTCGCCACCTACCGAGATCTGAAGAATTAGGGTTTTGGCAACTCCGGCTCCAACGACTTTGTCTTCGTCGATCTGGGTTACATCCACCGACTTCGTCGTCTTCTCCGGCTTGATCGTCTTCGTCGTCTAATCACCAGCTTCATCTTCTCTAGTGTTTCTTCACATCTACCTCCATCGAAAACTAATATATCTCAGTCCACCAACACTGCCATCGACTGCACCAACCCATTGGGATTACCATCTGCATCAAATGAAACTCAACTTGATGATAGTACCTTCCAAAATCGCCAAATACGACACCAAACCACATAATCACCCCAAATAGAGACTGTCGGAAAAGACGTCGGTGTTCATCAAAATCGCCTTCCACCCTATCACCGGAGATGCTACCAGAACCCTAAATCTAACACCACCACCTCCATCATTTGGGATAAATCAATCGCAGGAAACAATGACAGTGTTCATCACTCTCCTCCTCATTGATCTCTGAATATCAGATCGATGGTCTGAACCTTCATCATCTAGGGTTCAAAATTCTAATTGATTCAACAAGCATATTCTTGTTTTAATTGTGCAACCACCTCCATCACCGTCTCCACATCCCTGTTCTTCGAATTTGGTACCACCTACAAGTTACAATCAGATTTAAGAGAACCATGTTTATCGTTCTCTTCTGTTTACATCATGACCTTGTTCAGCGTATCACCAAGACATGTGGACTGAGAGAAAGGGCAAGAGAGATCGGAGATTAGAGTTTTACCCATTTGGGGTTTTAAAGAGAGAGAGAGAGAGAGAGAGAGAGAGATTATATTTTATTTTATTTTATTTTTTTTAATTTTTTAGTTAGAAAGAAATTAAATAACAAAAAGAAAAACAAAAAACAAATGGAAAAGGGCAAATTCGTTATTTTTAGATTTTTTAAACTGATTTGGACCAAAACAGCAGCAAAATGAAAACCTTTGGACTATTGGTGCTAGTCCAAACATGTTTTGCCCAAAGTAGCAATTGTGGACATAGCAGAGGAACCATTCTTGCAATTTTGTCTTGGCACAATTAAGACATTATAAGAAATTACAATTAAGTTCTAAATATTTACGAAACTGCCATCACGCCCGGGAGCCCTCTTCAACCTTTGACATTTTTTTAATCAAGGCACGATATTGATTCCCATATTCTTACAAAAATAAAAATTCTCATTTGAACCTAACTATCTAGAAAAATGAGGTATCCTTTATTCCTTTTCTAACCATCCAACCACTTTGGAACCACCCACAAATTACAACCATAGATCGAATCTGATCCAATGGCTGCAATTGAGTTTCAATCCATCATGCCTTATTTTTCAGGGTAACCTCTTTCGAAATGGATGGATGAGATGACAGCACGTCGACACGACATACTTCTATGGTGACTCATCATCAACAATTACAAAGGGCGCCTCCTCAGTCAATAAACCCTTTGCAGGTTTTCTTTGTCGATCACAATTTTAGGTTTTCTTTTGAACTTGACTTTACAGTATATAGTATATACACAGCTTCTTGAATTCCATTTTTATGTTATTAAGGACAAAATCATTAACATATAACAATGATTATGAACCAAAACTTATATGGGTGAAAAACTAAACAACAAAACCCTACCCATCTAACACAGTGCAAGATTCCAAACCCAAAAAAAAACAACATAAACAGTAAACACAGCATTCAAAACCCGTCATCCGACCCCACACTCTAAACCTACATCCGTTGCATATACGTGTATTCATGATTTTGGGTAACTCTCATGTTTTAAAATTTATATTTTTTTGTACTTTCTTTCTTATAAACTACACACACACACACACAAATAAAAAAAAGAAAAAATAAAAAAAGGAATGTGGATATATGTTTTGTTTCACGACTGCCAAAAAACAGTGGGATCATTACAGTATAATGTTCGATCTTGAATTTCTTGATCAGCCACATGATAATCAATTAGTTGTGCCTGTACAACTTTACACACCATCAATCCAGATGGAAGCATCCACCATCCACCATCATCCCTGCACACCACCACCACCACATTTAGGTTTTTAAGGTAAATAAAATGGAAAATTGTAAGATAAGAGTAAAATAGCAGCTTACAAGCTTAAGCTCCAGGACAAAGAATTTAGATGATTGTCGTTTGGGGGGAGTTGATTCTTGTAATGAAAATATCCACATATGAAGGCCACAACCTGTTTTTTTCAGAAACATGTAATTATTATTTGTAGTTAACATATAATATCATAATTTATTTTTGAAGTGTCGAAGGGAATGAGTTATGCTTACAACATTGACCAAGGATGTGATGTTCCAGAGTGCATAAAAACGTGCAAGCCCTGATGAACGCTTAGGAGTATGACTAAATAAAGCGCTAATTCCAGCTGGAAATGGGAGGAGAATACCGAGAGGGGGAAGAAATAACACCAAAAATAAATCCACCATGGAATTTGAGTAAAGCTGAAGCAACATCAGTAACACAAGTATAAAATCTCCTAAAAGAAGAATAGATATCACCAACCCAACAAGATCCTGCAAAACCATTAAATAATTATAATAATATTACAAAATCTATTTGGCAATATTCCAAACACGCCACTAGGCATTAGTTGAGTCTGAAGGAATTGAATAATTAATTACCTGATGACCAACTGGTTTGGTGTTGCATATGATAAATGATAGAGGATACCACATCATGTTCTCTCTAAGTGTTCTTAAGCTAATATCATCTAGAATCCATCCAGATGCTCTTCTATGTGTCATTAAGGGTTCAGACTCTTGGAAATGGACACGTTCTTCAACTTTACCACGATGATTCACGAAATAGCTGCACATCATGTAAGTATCAAATTCAAAATCAATGTATGTTAATTAGGTAGTATCTAAACTCCTGAATACCTCGACTGCACCTCGGGATCGGGTAGAACATGTGGACTGCTAATTGAAGGTGGTGGGGCCCGCTGATACTCAACTGCAGAAACTACCAATCCGAATTGATAATAACCCAATGCAGTAGGCTGAAAGCAAGCTAAATCAACGCGTATTCTGTGCACACTTAAAGTTGGATTTGCATACGTGTCAAGCCAATTTATGATTGGTCGGAAAGTTGACTTTAACTGATCGCGCCTAACAAGCCGTAGCTGTGCATTTAGACCAGCAACTAATCGGTACCAAATTGTGGATGTCACAGCCTGCAAAAAAATAAATTTATTTTTGTTAGAACATTGCACTTTTAACTTTTTTTCTTATTGAAGATTTAAGGGATTGTACTTTGCAAAATCTACCCGAATGTGACAGTGTAATTATAAAATTATTGTTTTGGGTGAGACATTCAATGAATCAAAACCTGACTCATGAGGCTTGTTAGAATATTGTCACTATGAAGAACAAAAGGAGCCATGTAACTTCCATCTCCTCCAAAAACTAAAGAGAGTGGAAATCTTTGATGGAGTGAAGGAGGAAGGTCGTCTCTCTTCTCATCTCCACCAAGGAAAAAATCCACATATGCAAGCATCATATCAGAAGTTGCAGAAACCTGCATTTAACAAATGATTTTTCAATATAAAGAGAAATGAAATTAGGATGCTATAAGAAACAAATGATTGAAAGTAGATTGTTATTTGTTGGATATAGAAGGATAAAAGGAAACACCTTAAGTCCCTCATAGAGAGCACGGGAACGGCATGAACGCAAGCACGCATGATCATATTCTGATCTAACAAATTCACGTAATCTTTGTATCTTTTTTTTGCGACACCATTGCAGCCATGTCCATGAAAATGGATATGCAATCACAGAAAGGATGTTGTAAAATGATCCTTCCCACCATTGAAAAGCTGCTAAACAATTTATCTCCTCTGCAAATCTATTGAATGCATCTTCATATCTGCCACACCCAAAATTCATAATCATCAAATTATTTCAATTATTTAAGCTATTACCAAGGCTTAGGTCACGTTTCCTTTTTACCCCATTATGATGTTTTTATTTATAGAAAATCACTGTCAAACTTGGAAAAACTAAATGAGGGAAAATTTGTAAAACGCGTACACAATTTCAGCTACTTGTTCTGAAGGGGAATGAGGGAGATGCCAAGGTTCACTGAAACTATTGGATCCCATGAAGTACATTCTGTGGACATGATTCTGGGATTCCTCATGTCTATTTGTTTCAAGAACCTGAAAAAAATAAAGTAACAAACAAACAATATATTTTTAGAATTACATATGAAAACCAACACCAGGTTTCAAAATTCAAACACACCATGGAATGGAATCTCAAATTCAAATTCCATTTGAATCTACAAACCAAACACACGCTTTAATAAGTAAGAATGGAAGTTAAAAATGGACCTCATTCAATGATTCCAAGAAAGGAACAGATCGATCCAACTGCAAGCCACGTCGAGTGGGAACTAATCCAGGCAATTCATCCCCACCAATAAATTTCACACGGGCAACACTAAGTACAAGGGCAAAAAGGAGGAGCAAACCTAGAAGCATACAACCAAATAGCCATGGCCCACCAAACGTATAAATTAACTCCTCAAATGTTGTATAGCAGTGAGGCATGTGGTATCTCTCAGATACACACTTGTAAGGACAAGGAACATCAGAAACACCACCTGTAATGTAATAATATTAGATGCTTTGTTAAACAGCACTTTTGGGAAAAAGAAAATCGACTTATTTTGGAATAAATAAAAGAAATACCTCGAACAGGGGTAAAAATGGCACGATGTGGAAACTCTAGAGCTGGGCAATCATAGCAAAGATCTCTTTCTGACCCGCTAACATTCTTGTAAGTGCCAAGTGGGCATTCCTACATATTCAAGTTATTGGAATTGATCAAACATATTTCAGCTCATTTATGTGATTAAAGCTATGAACAAAAAGAGCAACAAATGTACCTCACAAAAAATACCATACAGGCCTTGTGGACAAACTATTCCAGTGATAGTCCCATTATTCCCTGGTTGCCCAAGACCTTTACCAATTCCTCCTCTGTCATATTCAAAAGAATCAAAAATACAATATAAGGAACAAATAATATATATATAAGATGAAAAAATGAATAAGAAAGTAGTAGTAATTTAATTTGTGAAGAATCAAACCCAATATTAATGGTTCCATTAACACTAGCGACAGGTTGATATTCATCTCCAACTGTAATATCTGACCAATGAAAATGAATCCTACCACCACCCCCACCACCAGCATTCTGACTACCATACCCTCCAGCAGTTGAGATTACAGATGAATCACCAAGTGTCAATCTATCAACAAACAGAAGAACACTTCCACCAGATCCTCCACCAGCATGCTTCACATCTTGTTTTCTTATATTTTCCCCAAAACTTTCTCCATCAGCTGTCAGTGACCCATAGATTGACAAACTCGACAGAGAGTGCTCCAATGACCCCATCACTATTTCAAATTCCAAATTAAAAAAAATAATAATAATAAACTATTTCAAATTACTATTTTACCCATAACAGCATTTTACTTTCAACCTTAAAGATTCAGAAGCTTACATACCTATGATACCACCACCAGCAGTTGCACCACCCAAACTATCATCACCACTGCCACTACCAAACTCACAAGGAAAATCAGCATCACCATAAGGAACACCACCTTCAACAACAATACTGTTGTTATAGTAACCATCACCACCCCTGCCGCCATGTCCCCCACCACCACTAGTACCATCATTCAACATTTTTCCTTGCCCCGCTCCACCAATGCAGCCTACATAAATTCCAAATCTCAAATGTTTATTAAAAAAAAAAAAAAGTTATTTATATTGATGTCTGATGAAAGAAAGTAATAAAGTCTTACCTAATCCAGAAGCACTTATTGATCCAGATGGTTTGATTAATACACTTCTGACCCATTGAAAATGAACAACGGATCCTTCAATGGAACCTTCAACAACTATCTCTTCAACTCTACAGATCTACATATACATAATGACTAATCAGAAAAGGCCTAATTAGATAAAAGTACATTGCGACATTGTATATATTCTATACTGGTAAAAAGAGTAACATATGTTGCTATTTGAGCCTATCTCATGCAATTTTCCCTTAAACTAACAATTTGTTACCTGAAGAGTGAAGGACAATGAAGAATTCACATTGCAATCTTCAGGTGGATGAATTAATTCCATTGGGCAAACCTCCAGTTCACAATGTGCCCTATCATATATCAACATATCATCTAACTGAAGTCAACCAAATCATTGACTACCACTAAAGATACTTACGAGTGATCAATAGTTGTGTTCTCTAATGGACCTCTTAGCATTGACCCAGGTTCAACCTACATAAGTGGCCAAATATATCATTTTAAAAAGAAATCAGTAATACTAAGTAAATAATAGTATAATACAATTACCCTTACATTGATACAGCAAAATATTGATAACACCAGATGTTGAGCTTCTATAACATTGCCTTCTCCGGTCAGATTCAATGAACCTTGACCATGAACACCAAGATTTGCATTTGATTGTATTACAGATCCTCCCTGACATACGAGAATACTTAAAAACTACATTGGTTGACTTTTAAAGTAGAGATTTGACTTTAGCAAAGAGAAGGAAAAACTAATTACCTTGAGAACAAGTAAATTGCTAGCCTCAAGCAATGAAGTGGCAATAATTGGATCACCCTCACCATCACCATCTATAAGCATTTTGGAATTCAACATCAAGTGCAATTTAACAGACATTCGCAAAGCCCCATATATCTAAAACAACATATTAAGAAAGCAATAAGAATAGTAGAAATGTAGAAATGTAGAATACCACTGGACTTTATTTATTACTACTATAAGAAAAAGTATATAATGCCTCTCACTTACCTTGATTACTGAATCACTCATTAAAAGTTCCTCTGCCATTAATTCAAACTCTGACACAGCATCATGAGGTAAACCAAAGCTTAAAACTGCTCCAGCTGATAAACTAAGTTGTCCTTGAACCTATATATATATATATATATATATATATATATATATATATATATATATCACAGAAAAACAGTCAATTGTTGTGAAAATGTTTGACAACAGATTAAGAATTGTATGTCAAGTGAATATGTTTGGCAACCTGCACGCGACTCCAACGTAGTGGGACAGCAGCTTTAGCATATTCTTGAATATCAACACTTGTCCAACGAGGCTGATTTGGGAATGCAAAAAAAGGTGTATCTGTATCTGTTGACATGTTGTGGTTGTTGACTCTGAGTCTTCTAGGAACAGCATCATAGAAAGTCCCTGCAGCACCAGAGTTTGCAGGACAGCCATAACTTTGTCCCCCTGTGAAAATATGATTGCATCAATTGTTTCAAGAAGTGTGAATAAAGATCATTGAAAGCATGAGTGATATCTGATATGAATATACCATGAGCAAAGAATGTTTGATCATCATGTCTGCTGAAAACATTCACAGATATTCTTCCACCAGCACCTCCACCAAACCCATTACCTCCAGATGCACTTAAGATGCCACTACCTGTCCTGTTCTTCATAGAACAAACAGAGATGATTGTTGCATAATTAGGTCCAACAAACAATAACAGCAAAAGAAAGGCAAAAAAGATAAAGAAAGAGACCATTACATTTTCCGGGACTTCACGAAAATGCTGCCACCAGAGCCTCCTCCACCTTTGACACCACCATCACCACCATCTGCAAAAATTCTTCCACTGACTTCCACAGCATCCACCACCTCAACCCAAACCCTGCCACCACCATTCCCTCCATAATCATCATCTTTATTAGTCGCCCCACCTTTGCTTCCATAATTATAGGGTTCAGGTAAATCCGACCACCCATAAGCATCACCACCCCATACATCCTCTGGGAGCTTTGTATTATCCACAACACAACAAGCACCTCTCCCACCATGCCCTCCACCACCACCAAACACCCCTTTAGGCGAGCCACTTGTATGCTCCGGTGGATCACCACCCATAGCAGTAACATTAACGATTGAACCCTCTTCAAATGTCGCATTCCCTGCCGTCACATGAAGCGTCCCTGCTACTATCTCTGAATTCAACCCTAATCTAAACTCAGAACTAATATTGATAATTATCGAACATCCAGAAGTAAGACATTTAAATTTAACACCAGGGAGTATGTGAAAGTTCCCTTTTCCTTCTATATACACATCAGCAACGAAAATCGTACTAATATTTAGTTCACACGTAGTGTCTAAACTCCCGATTCCTCGTAAATCTTCTTCGCACGACAGAGCCGGAGGGTGTGGTGGTGGAGATGGCGGTGGAGGCGACGGCGGCGAATAATCTCCATGGAAATCAAGAATTGTAGATTCATCGATCGTTGAAGAAACACCAAAATTAGGGTTAGATGAGATAGAACTGAAGCCGTAGATAGTAAAAACAATCAGTAAATAGAAGATACGTGTAGCCATGGAACGAGTGCGATTGAATCATATGCTGATTGATCCTGGCTTAGTTAATTGGTTTGTCTGTTGTTGTCGGGTTAAATTGATCGAACAGCAAGAGTGAGAGAAAGAAGGGTTGTGACAGCGGCGGAGAACGCCGGCAAACGGTGGGAGCCACCGGGCAGACGAGATTGATATCCAATCTTAATCGGGAAAGGATGAATCACAGATGATTTGGTGCATCATTGTCGACTTGAACTGAAAACAAAATGAGATTCGTGTAATGGTGTTCTCTTTGAACATTTGGTCAACTTGTCTTATTCATCATATACTTCCAGACAAAGGTAAATTAAATGTTTTTTTTTATCGTTGTATTAACATCTAAAACGAACGTATGGTCATCTCACTTTTAGTTAGTGATAATATATTTTAATGGATAAATGTCATAAAAACCCAAAAGTTTAAGTTTTTGTCGATTTTGTTTAAAGTTGGATTTTAAATTCATTAATGTCTCAAAATTGATTTAATTTGTTTGTTTATATCTTTTCACCGGTTTCCCTTAAGTTAGTTGGTTATCAATGTTTAGCTAGAAGATAAGTGGTCCATTAACTCCGTTCGGGAGAAACCCCCAATTATGTTATAGACGTCAAAGGTTACACCCTCCCTCTATATTGTATCACCTTTTTGCACACAAGTACCGTCGATTGAAATTCTTTGTGTACACAGAGAAAAACTTCACAAAAAAGGGTTTTTTCTTGGAGAAGATTAAGGCAAAATTGATGTTGTGTTCTTGGAAAGGCAATGTTTTTATAGTCCATAATCCTTTTATGTTTACACTCAACATTTTTTGCTATGGGTTCTAAAAGTGGTTGTGTGTATGCAGGAGAGTGTAATGATTTCATCAGACGAAGGGTACGATGACCCATTTGTTGGCATACGTGAACCATTTTCTGGCTTGATTGAAATGGATTTTGAGCTCCATGGCATTTATATGGACCACGAACTAGAGGAAGAATTTGTAACCACACTTGATAAATGTAATGATATCTTCCTAAATGTTAATTAAGTGATCAAAACCTATAAAATTCTAGTATGGTTGATGAAATCAGAGCACAAGTGTACCATGATATTGATTGGCATAGTGGTGAAGATGAAGAATAAGCATTGAAAAACAACTATAAAATTCATGGCCCAACCATCACGTGGGACAAGATGGAACCAAAGTTTGTTGACATCTTTGAATCCCTTACACATTTTAAGTTTTTTCTCATTCCTGAGGGATATACAGTCCTCAGTGATATGACCGAAATCTTCATAGTATGTGCACCATTTAGATTTATCTATCCAGCCACTTGATTTTTCTCATTTCCTTGGCCATCTTGCTTTCTCACCAAGGTCATGTATAGCAAAGATTAGACCTGAAACATCCACAAAAAAACAATAGTCAGTAATCTTAGGGAATTCACCCTCCTACCCTTCATTATCAAGGGCATTAACCCTATGATGATTAGGTTTGGAGTATGGCTTTGATTTATAAGATCTCAGGGTTGAGGACTCAGCCTTCCTATTAGGATTGTCGTATGAATTCGGGGCATTGGTCCTTTTATGGATTTCTTTGTCCTTTTCTAGTCTTATGAATCTCAACGCTCTACTTCCGACTTCATCCATTCTTTTGCATAGGGTCATCACAAGATCTTCATATAATGGAGAATCCTTCTTTATACCCATTTTGAAAGCTTACGTGGTGGTGGCCATGTAAATATTAGGGATGTTCATCACTTCCCTGCTAACCACTTACAAAAGATCTAAGGGTGTTCCTTAGGATCCTGAACTACTCAATAAAGATCAACAGTGATCCTTTCGAACGTCATGTTACAAGAGAACTGGTTATTAAAATGTTAACTAAATGAGCAAAAGAAGTAATAGAGTAAGGAGAAACAGTGATAAGCCATTTATAGGCTAATCCTGTAAGGGTTGAACCAAAACCCTTGCACACACAAGTTTTTTTTAAATGCGATGGAATGGGAATGATTTCCATTCTTTCTCAATATTGTGTTATGTGTTCCTCATGGTCTGTAGTTCCATTGTAGGGCTTCATGTTAGGAGTTTGGAAGCGTTTTGGAACTTCATTGTCAACTATTAAAGGAGCAAATCTTGAGATCATGTGGCTAGTAGGGATACTTCAAGTATAGGTTGAACTACTCCTGGAACGCTCGAGATCATTTTCCTTAGTCGTTGAAGTTCCCTAGCCATGGCTGGACTTATCCCTACATCAAGATCCACAGAGTTAGTATTAAAAGTATTACTTTTTGAAGAAGTTACTAACATATTTGTTCTTAGGAGTAATGAAAGTTTCGTCGAGATCCTGGATCACAGGAGTTCGGTTGTTTGGGATTACACCCCTAGTCGGAATAGCGATAGATGTTGGGGTTGTAGTCTCCGTACATTTCCCTAAGGATCGTGCACTATCGAAATTCAAGATCTTGGGTTGCAAGATCGAGGGGTTCGCTTAACGGGGTTTGCGAATCTCTGTTATTATCCATTCCACTTCCTTGAACAATGGCATGTTGTCCTCCTGTTGCATCAACATCTTCATCATATAAAAGAGTTCTTTATTGGAGATCAGAACGGGAGGGTCCTGGGATCCCAGGGATCCTGGATTCCATGGCTAGTGATCGAAGAAGTGCTCTTTTTTTAGAAGCATTAGAAGTTTTTTTTGATCAGGATGTCCCCTTGGAGGCGATGGAAGATTTTTTGAACAAATGGGAGGAATATGTAACGTCCGTGTTTCTAGCCTATGCATTAATATTGACATAATAGTCTAGTTTAACCTTTGTAACTCATTTAGAAGGAATGAAAATGGATTATGTGAATATTATGTGTTTTATGCTTAATTATTAGGGTTTAATTAATTAAGAATAAAAATGAGCATCAAAAATAAATATTAGATAAAGCCGATATCTATTAAGAAAGTTGTAGTGGTCGTGACAAGGATTACGGATATATAAAGAATGCCGAAATCCGAGTTATAACGAAGAAGTTATGACCTGTCAAAGTTTCGCGACAAAACCGACACGGTGCCGAATGCCGTAAAAAGTGAGTTTTTGATAAAATACTTTTTAGCCTTAGTGATCTAAACGAAAGTCGTAGTGTGCGTTAAACCGAGAGCATGTATAAAAAGAACGCCCAAATCTTACTTCGTATGAGGAAGTATGATTTTTCTAAGTTTCAGCTTAGCAGTAGACAACTAAAAACTCGAATTTTAGATCGAGTGATTTTTAGCCGACACGACCTAAATGAGAATCGAAGGTCTCGTGAATAGTAGCACAACGGTAAAAAAGTCTGACGAAAACGGACGTCGGATGAAGAAGTTATGAATTTTTAACGGATTTCCTGTCCCGGTCTGTTAAAAATAATAATATAAAAATTAAAGTCAAAATTAGCCGACAAAGTCTAAACGAAAGTTGTAGAGCGTAATTTTACCTACGGGTGCATATAAAGAACGTCAAAAACGGAGCTCGTATGCTAAAGTTATGAATTTTAGAAGATTTTGGCACAAAATTCGAGAAATTTCGCATGGATGAGCTTCACCCGGAAATGCCACGTCACCTTCGCTCGTAGCGTGCCACATGTCCGAAATTGCTGAGTCATCCGACCAGCTGGCGAGGCATGTCGCTTCCGGATTCGACCGAAGTCTCGGCCCTCGCACATCCGACGCGTGTCGCACAGGTGTCCGAGCCGGAGACCCAGCCGATGACGCATCCGAAGCCGATGACTCCTCGCGTCTGAAGCGTGCCAGTTGCCGCGTCCGAGCCTCTCTGCTGCTGCCACGTGCTCGCTTCCCAGCCTCCAGAGTCCGAACCTCGGCCCTATAAATAGAAGGGCTGCGAGATCTTCCGGGTAGAATTCCAAAATTGTAATTTTTCACCCATTTTTCAATATTTTAGCTATTTTGACCTCCCCCGAAGCCCCGGTATTAATTCCAACGCCCGAAACACGCCCCGAAGTGCCCGAAGACCCAGAAAATTTATTTTTTCGGTTTCGAAGTCCGACCCTCGCAGAGCCCGGTTTTTGAATAAAACTATCGGTTTTATTAGAAACGATCGTTTTAGGAAACGAATTGCTGCCTGATTTTCATTAAATCAAGTGAGTGTGTAGTTACTTTCACCTTACACATAGATATGAAGTATTTTATATAAAATACGTGTTGTGTGAATATATATTGTTTGTTTATTTGAGATGGACATTGAAGGAATGATTTATACATGTTTTTAAATAATTTAAACTATATATGTATTTTATCTACAAAAATGTTGGGTAAAACATGGGTAGATGAAATAGTGGGTGTGTGATGAAAGGTGAGTTGGATAGATGAGATGATCAGTGATATAGATCATGAGTTGAGAGTGAGTGGTGAAATGAGATCATGAGTTGAGAGTGAGTGGTGAAATATGAGAAATGCTCTTACCCAAACGTTGGCGTGAGTGGTGCAATATGAGAAAAGCCCTTACCCAAACGTTGGCCCCCCTCATTCAGCAGAGTATGGTTGACAACCATGGACTATTCTAGACGGTCTGTGGAACACTAGCAGGCCCGCAACCCGTAGGTGTATGAACTATATGTTCATCTGTTGTACTCTAAAAACCCATTGACATGTATTACGGGGGGGATTCCCGTGGGAAATACTGTCGATAAATAAAAGTTAAGGACTTAGTGACTGTTGTATAAACCTTGGCGACGATGTGACTTCGTGCCTATTTGACATAAATTGTTGAGGGAAAAGCAATGTTGTCACCCCGATGTTTGCCTTATTTGACATAAATTGCGGAGGAAAGCAATGTTGTCACCCTATTGGTTGTTTATTTGACATAAATTGCTGAGGAAAGCAATGTTGTCACCTTGTTGGTTGATTTATGTTAGGTTGTCTTATTTGACATAAATTGCTGAGGAAAGCAGTGTTGTCACCCCGATGGTTGCCTTATTTGACATAAATTGCTGAGGAACCCTCGAAGTAATGTTGTCACCCCTAGTGAAAATCCTTAGGCTAGGTCCCTTGTGATAGTTGTTTTAGGGACGTAAAGTGAGGATAATGGGAATGGGTAATTAGGGTTATTTTTGGTTGATGAAATTAATAAATTTATTATCGATTGAGAACTTAATAAGTTTATTATTTATTGTGGGTTGAAAACTGTAGCACCTGGTTCCTGGTATGTATTTTATTTAAGTATTTTGCATTTTTGGCCTGGGACTCGGCGAGTTGAAGGACCAACTCGTCGAGTAGAAACAGATTTGATTCGGGATTTA